ATCGCAAGGTGTGTTCACACGGTTTTCTACAGCAACATTGTAGCCTAAGCCAAAACTTTAGGTGGCAGTTCACAATACTACAAACATCACCAACCGATGTTTCTCTTTAAGGGATTAAACTCATCATCTTTACATTTTTTTTCATGTTACCATTTTAAGCTTTTAAAATTAAGAACAAAAGTGCTATACTGCTACACTGCTGCCCTCAACATAACATGTTGTACAACATCTCATGTTATCAATCCAAATCTTGCATCTACTAGGGTAAAAATCAAAACTGATGAAGAAAAGGTAGCATAGCAGAGAAATCAAAATAGAGCCAGAGTATTTTCTAAAGCATATAAGTCCAAAATCTGCACTTAAACTGTTCTAAATTTGCACAAAAATGGAAAGTCTCAGCCTGCATCAAAGAAAGCTAAAGTTGACATAACAAAATTGTTCAAATACTCTCACTTGCTTTGTGCCACATGACTATCTGATTTTTTAAAAGAAAAAAACATAATTAGAAAATCATAGATAGAGAAAACCATGGGGTGAACCAATTTTAGCAAGTGACTGTCTCATCTCCATATGACTGTCTCATCTCCACAATCATTTAGCAAGTGAACCAATTTTAACCAAAAAATAGATATTTCAAAAGATTCCTATAGGATACTATAGATATATATGGTGCTATTACCTTCTCTTTGTATAACCAACCCCCATGCCTTTAATTTCTATATTTTGCTTAGTTTTAGTTTTCACTTTTCGCGTAGCATAATTTATTTAGGGTTTTATTTCACTCTTTTCCATTTTCCTTGAAAATGATAAAGCGCGGTGGTGACTCTTGCTTTTGGGAGTCAAGTTAATCAATAACTTGATCTCCGATTTTCACCGCTACAATGTCTAAGGAACGTTAGTACAAGAGGTTTTGATTATGACTTTATGGTTAAGCTTTGGAGGCCTTCTAAAGCTTTTCTTTTATGTGTTACAAGTTATAAAGATTATGAAGACGAGGTTTTGCTGAACAAGTTCTGATGATCAGAAGAAAAGAAAATTCTTACAACCAAGTGCTGAAGACTCTAAATACAAAGTTTTGTGTGACAAGTTCTGAAGACTCCAAGACTTAGGTTCACCATTCAAATATCTGAAGCCTCTGATGATAAGAAGAAAGTTCAAATGGTTAATGTGTGATGTTGTATGAAAGTTACATAAAGTGTTTGTGACCTCTATCCTGTAGGATGGCGTAAGGACAGTCCTTTATATTGTATTGTCAACCACTCTCATTGTGAACATTGGGAACAACCGAATGGATTTACAACTATCTTTCTTTAGTTAACGGATCTCTATTTACAAGCTTAATAGAAAAACATTATTCTGAGAAAAGGTGGAAAACTATCATTGAACACTGATAAGATACATAAATATTATTTTATATTGTCTAAACTCTTACACCTTATTCTACTCGTTGGGAACTAACCGTTGGTGCAGGAAAAGTCCTTTTTTTCCTCACAACGTCTCTCTCTGTCAAAGGTTATAAAAGAAGATTGAAGATTAAAAGAAAGTTGTTGTTGGCCATCAAGGTTCATCTTTTGAAAGGAAAGTAGTGGATTCTAAAGATGTTAAAGTTGCGATGCTACACATTCAGAAGACCACTAAAGAAGAGAGAAAAGAAAGAAAGAAGATTTTATAAAGATGTCATATAACTATCATCATATACATCTTGATTGAAACAAAAGAAGCAAGGAGTTGTTGCTCGCAGCTTGCTCAAGAAGAAGAAGACTACAAGATGCTATTCAACTTCCAATCACATACATCTTAGTAGATCTCAGAAGAAGCAAGGAGTTATTGCTCGAAACTTGCTCAACAAGAAGATGAAGAAGAACACTACAAGACGCTACTCAACTTCTGATCATATACATCTTTGTAGAACATTATAATGAACATTAGAGTTGTTGCTCGTATAGTGTTTTTGTTCAAATATCTTCGTGTAAATTGTATTAACACTTGAGTTGTTGCTCGAAGAAGTTTTAAACAATATGTGCTAAAAACACTTGGGTAATCTTCTTAGAAGAAGAATTCATGTAAACACAAGATCACCATCCATTGTTGTTGATTGATTCCTTGGGAGACTTGGTAAAAGTCAAATCTCAAGAAGATAATGGCTACAGTCATTATAGGAAATTCTGATATGAGATCTTGCGGGATCGGGTTCTATTAGGTCAATAGTAGTCATATCTCAAAAGGGACCGAGTGAAGGTCAGACTCTTGCGAGATCATTGATGGATATCATTGAAAGGAAATACTGTTAGAAGATCTTGAGGGATTATATTATATTGGGTTAATTGAGACAATCGACTGAACAAATCATCAAGATAAAGTCAATAAAGTAACCATCGAACATTTTTTATCCTACAGGAAGGGAAAGGTAAACATCGACTAAACCTGAGAAGGGTGAAATCAAGGTCAAATGACCAAGAGATACGGGTAAAGAAATCTATTGCGCGAGGGGAAGGTATTAGCACCCCACATGCCCGTAGTATTCTACGGTTTCCATTCATGTTACCTATCTTATGGGTGTGTTTAATATATGCTTATTGTACTAAAAGAAAATGCAAAGAGAGAATGCATGCAAAAGAAAAGAGAAAAAATGTAGGGAAAATAAAGTTGTGCTCGTTCGGGCCCTACCCCAATGCCTACGTATCCCTTTTAAGGAATCAGAGCAGCTGTAGTTCAGCTCATAAGTTTTGATTTTTTTGTCTTTTTTAATGAACAATATTAATTTTGCCTTCTGCCGTAACTCGACCTTTGGAGACTCACGCGCCAGCACATAAGTGAATTAACATGTTCTTTTAAAAAGTTTGAAAGAAGAGAAAAGGAGCCCGAAGGCGAAAAAGAGTTTGCATTGGTTGATATTTTTTACCTTGAAGAAGGAGTTGAAAATTGATAGGTGTTTTATGATTTGTCAAGAAAAAAGAGTTTTAGTTTTAATGCAAGGATGCAAAAGAAAGAAAAACATCTAAGGGAAGCTAGCTAGAATCTAATCCCTAATGTTATCATACAATGATTGGTCCTATGGTTGAGTTTTGAAAGGGAAATCTCTACGCTATGTTAGCATGATGGATATCTATTTTAATGTCTAACTCGAAAGCTACTCTAATCGAGCGATCCTAAGGGAAGCATGGTATAGCAATCAAATAAGCAAACAAGTGCTTTGGCAAAAACACATAAACATGAGTAGCACATACTAACTCAAAGGGATGGGGGAAACAAGAGAAATGATTTAGCTAAGGGGAGAGGATCACCCGAAGCAAACAAGCGGGAGACAGATGAAATAAAAAAGAAAAGAAATGCTTTAGCTAAAGGGAGCGAATCACCCGAAGAAAACAAGCGGGTAGAGAAGTATCAACAATGACCATTACAAACTCCTGAAAAAGTGTGGGGGTTGGTTGTGAACCTTTCTCCACATGACCGATTGGATACACAAGATATGTACAACTCCGAAGCATCAACTCATAATGTGAGCTAAGGAAACCAAGGACTATAATGTGCGGAGGTTGATTGCGAACCCTCTCCGCTTGCCTCATCTTGAGGAATTATCATTTGCAATATGATGCAGGCACAAATGTAAACACATGTGCAGAATACCTACTTCAAATGTAGGATTTTAAACAAACACATATAACATACAGAAAGCGGTGTCAGTTAGAGGTCTTTAAACAGCGACTTCGAGCGCACACTCTTTATTTCCTACTTCTCATGATATCTAGAAAGCAGTAAAATTCCTACTTCTCATGCTATCTAGAAAAGCGGTAAAATACAGAATGATAAACTAGAGAAAATACCAAACGAATAAGAGTTCGTAGCACAACAAGCAAAGCAGAGAAACCCGAAAAACTTTGAGTAAGCTTCACCAGAAATAGATAAGAGTCAGAAATAAAATGCTCAGAATAGGCGTCGAAGCATCATCGATGTTAAAATAAATCACAATCGAAAACTCAAACATATCTGCATATCGCACGATAAACCTGCATAAGACTTAAATCTCAACGAGAAAAGGTGAATCACACATCTCAAGTAACAAAATGATTACTAAACATAAACAACAATAGAAAATTCTAACCAAAATTCTAAAAATAAATCCTAGAAAAATACTATTATATTCCCTAAAAAAATAATTAACAATTTTTATTGTTTTTATTATTTTTGTTAACTAAATTTTAAGAAAATAAAAATATTAGAAAAAATCTAAAAATCAATTACAAAATAGAAAGGTGAGGGATCAGAATCAGGTGGTGTATTGCAGCAATCCAGGAGTGTGGGCTAGTAAGGGCGCTAGGGCCCAAACTGCAATGATCCAACAAGCAGCTCTTTTTCTTTTGCTACCATAGCTTCTAGCTTCACAAAAAAACGGTAATGGGCCTAAGGGTGGAGTTGGCCCAGTAAGCATCAACATTGGATAGGGTTAGAAAGAGTGATTGTTCAACTTCCATGAGAAAGAGATCTTCTCCTCCTCCAAACGGCGCCAAAAATGGAATTTCCATCTTACATTTCTCTTGCGAATTTCCGACGCATCACCGTCTTCTGGTCCTGCTTCCTTTCGCTGTTCATCTGATTCCATTAACCTCTTCTTTGATCGAACTCAAATCGTGACGATCCTCTTCTTCTGGCGTCATTATATCAAGGTTTGCGATTCAGCCTCGCTTTTCCTCTGATCAATCTGGAACGGGTTCAAGGACCTCTTCCCCGATCTAAATCAAACAATAGCGCCGCCTCTGGGTCTATCATAGAAGACTCATTCTCTCTTCAATGATCGCGTTAGCCTCCTTCACTTCATTCAGGTTTGATTTTCTTGCCGTGACTCTCATTCTTTCTTCTCTGAAATCCTATCAGACGCTAGGTGTTGTTGTTTATTATTGAATTTGCGTGAGTTTGATGTATTGAGGTTATGCCCATAACTTGGAAGTAAATGAATAGGTTCGATTGTAGATGATGAAAGATGATGATGAATTATGTTAGAGCTAAACAGGAATAAAGTGCGATGAATATGGTTGATGCGCTGATTCGGTGGAGATTTGTTGATGAGGAGTTGCGGAAGATGACGATGGTGACTGAAGCTGACGAAGGTGATGATGATGACGTCTCATAGCTTCCACGTCTGGAGATTTCATGGTACTGGCAAGCAAGCATATACTTGCATCAATTGATATTTCTATAGTCATTAGGTATGATGAGTGTTTCTTAACATGAGAAGCCCATTGGCACATGGCAGAAGCTATTCCAGATAGCACTGAAGAAATTAGTACAGGAACTATTCCATTGAATAAAACTCGATCAACATTAGCACTAGTAGAACTTTTGTTAGAGCTTTCACCAACACTTAGTAAAACTGCTGTAACTAATAACAAGAACAAGGCTCCAATTTGTTGAATTGTTTGTTTTTGCCTCAATATGAAATATGTAAATAATGCAGTGAAAAATATTTTTGTTCTGATTTTTGTACAGGAACTGGTTTTGAATGTAAGGCTGGTTTTTGTACTGATGCAAGACAGTTTTGTGAACCATTGGGAATCCTGCTAGATTGCTTTCGATTTTATGAATATTTTCTAAACTGATTTCTCATGTTGTACCTTTATGTATTTTAGAACTGAGACCAAGTTTTGGGGATTATTGTTAGGGACCAAGAGAAGGAAGATGGGCTAGATATTGAAGTGACCAATCATATTGGGCCTTAGAATGCTAAGACGTGGCAGGTTTATTCTAGAAGGAAAATGGGATCTCACACCACGTGATAGATGTGAGGTGGAAGAGAGAGATTAGTGGTCCTAGCAATACCGTTAGACTGTATCCATACATGACGGGGGAAGGGAATGGGAATCTCACCTTAGAGAATCATAGAGTAATCATTGGATGGGGGTTGTTAAGCACTCCATAGGAGCATAGCTCTATGGCAGTTAGATCACTGAATCTTCTGTAAATTCCCTTTGCAATCATATAATTAAACAGTCCTCACTTTCTGTCAGTCTTTATTCTTTGCCTTAATTCTACTTTATTCTGTTAGAACCTAACATTGGTCCGACCTACCGGATTACGACGACGGAGCCAGTGAATGCCACCTAAGAAAGTGACGGTGCCAGCGTTCACAAAGATGGAAGCTAGGGTCAAAGCTTTAGAGAGTGAGATCTCGGAGGTACGATCAACTCTTGTTGAGGTGCAGAATACGACGACAACAAACCACGCCAACTTGATAGCACTACTGGAAAAATGTTTGGGCAAGTCATTGACAGTTGATGAAGAAAGCGCGAGTGTCTTTAATAAAGGCTCGCCGATGGTGACGACAAAGGGTGAGCCAAAGAGTATCGTGGTTAACAACCTTCATGGAGATGCATTGATGGAGTTACTTCCGGCTTTCTCCGGCGATGATCCGGCGGGATGGACATCTAGGGCGGAGATCTACTTTCGTGTTCAAGGCACAAGTGATACCGTGAAAGTGAGTTTGGCACAATTGAGTATGGATGGGCCAACCATCCATTTCTTCAACTCGTTGTTGGAAGAACACCCAGATCTGACATGGGAGGAGTTCAAGGTGGAGCTACTAGAGAGATACGGTGGTTTAGGGGAAGGAGATGTTTATAAACAACTTTCAGAGATTCGTCGAAAGGGCACCGTGGAAGACTATATACAAGAATTTGAATGTTTGACGGCTCAGATTCCAAGGTTGCTTGACAAACAGTACCTTGGGTATTTTTTACATGGGTTGAAGTACGAAATCAGAAGTAGGGTTCGGATCTTTGTGGCTATGGGACCACTTACAAGAAGTAAACTATTTCACGTCACCAGAGCAGTGGAAAGGGAGATGAGTAGTGGGTCGGGTTGGAACCGAAGTCCGAAAATAGGTGGGTCAAACCGGGTTAACCCGGGGAGACAAGGTGGTACGGACTGGGTTTTTGTAAAAGGGAGCCAGAACAGTGGACATCATAATGGAGTTGGGCCTAGAGGTGTTAGTGGCCCAATTCGTGAACCCAAACAGGACACTGCAGATAGAAGGAAGGGAGGGTGCACGTGATAAGGGATTCACCCATTTGTCTTATCAAGAGCTCATGAACCGGAAGAAAAAGGGATTGTGTTACAAGTGTGGAGGCCCATATCATCCTCTCCATTAATGCCCAGAGAAGCAGCTCCGTGTCATGATTGTAGATGAAGAGGAAGGAGGGGAGGATGAAGGGAATTTGCTGGCTGTGGAGGTGGACGAATCGGAGGAGGAGAAGGACGGAAAAATGAGTGTTATGACACTGTTTGAACTAAAAGAGTCACAACATGACAAGGTTCAAACACTCAAACTCAGAGCAACAATCAATGGCGTATCCGTGGTGGTGTTAGTCGACAGTGGGGCTACGCATAATTTCATTGCAACGTCCATGGTGCAGAAGTTAGGATGGCAAGTAGAGACCACTCAAGATTTGAGAATCAAGTTAGGTGATGGATTCCAAACCATTACCAGAGGAAAATGTAAGCAAGTTTTATTCAAAACTGGGGAGGTTACTTGCGAAATCGAGGCGTATTTGTTTGATTTAGATGGAGTGGACGTGGTTGTTGGTATGGCATGGTTGAAATCTTTGGGAGATATGATAGTTAATTGGAAGAAGCAAACAATGGAGTTTTGGCATGATGGTAAGTGGGTAATGTTGAGGGGAATAGAAGGTACGCCTGCAGCAATCCTAGCATTGCAAAGCATCTTAGGGAAGGCTGGAAAAGGGTATTGCATGAATGAATGGTCCCTAGATGCAATAGTTAGCAACACTGTAAGGCAAGCAGAAACCATGGTAGTGCAATATGATATGCAGGGAGTATTGAAGTCATTTGATGATGTGTTCCAAGAACCTAAGGGTCTTCCTCCACGTCGCTCCCGAACCATGCGATCAATTTAATGTCAGGACAAGGCGCAGTTAATGTCAGACCGTACAGGTACCCACAACACCAGAAAAATGAAATAGAGAAACAGATTAAAGAGATGTTAGAAATGGGAATTGTGCAACACAGCTGCAGTGCTTTTTCGAGTCCTGTTATACTCGTGAAAAAGAAGGACGGGACATGGCGAATGTGTGTTGATTACCGTGCTCTTAACAAGGTCACCGTGCCTGACAAGTTTCCGATACCGGTGATAGATGAGTTAGTCGATGAGTTACATGGAGCTCAATATTTCACCAAGCTGGATTTGAAGTCTGGGTATCATCAAGTAAGGGTGAAACAAGAGGATATCCATAAGACGACTTTCCGTACTCATGAAGGCCATTATGAATTCCTTGTGATGCCGTTTGGATTGATGAATGCTCCGTCCATATTCGAATCCTTGATGAACGAGGTGTTCATGCCCTTATTGAGGAAGTTTGTGTTAGTCTTTTTTGACGACATACTCATTTACAGTAAATCGTGGCAGGCGCATATCCTAGAAGTAACCGAAGTGTTGCTGATTTTGAGGAGACACAAACTGGTTGCGAATAGAAAAAAGTGTCGATTTGGCCAGAAAACTGTTGAGTATCTCGGTCATTTGATCACGGGAAATGGTGTAGCAGTAGATCCCACGAAGGTGCAAAGTGTCATTCAATGTCCTATACCTAAGAATGCTAAAGGGGTGAGGGGATTTCTAGGCCTTACGGGCTACTATCGCAAGTTTATTAAAGATTATGGGAAGATTGCCAAACCATTAACGGAATTGACGAAGAAGGAGGGGTTCAAATGGGGGCCTCAAGCTCAAAAGGCTTTTGAAGTATTAAAAGAGAAGTTGACAACAGCCCCAGTACTCGCATTGCCTGATTTTAAAAAAGAGTTCACAGTAGAATGTGATGCCTCCGGAGTGGGTTTAGGTGCAATCTTAATGCAAGAGAGAAAGCCCATTGCTTTCTTTAGCAAGGCTTTATGAGGAAAGAATTTGGCTAAATCTGCATATGAAAGGGAGTTAATGGCAGTAGCTTTAGCGGTGCAACATTGGCGTCCTTATTTGTTGGGCAGACATTTCACTGTGACAATAGATCAAAAGAGTCTGAAACAGTTACGGCAGCAGAGGATCACGACTCCGGATCAGCAGAATTGGGCCACAAAATTGCTCGGTTATCAGTTTGATATAGTATATAAACCGGGAGTGGAAAATAGAGGAGTTAATGCTCTTTCAAGGTTATTCGAAGGTGAATTATCGTCTATGGTTTCGTACCCAATATGGGAGGAAGGCAAAGTGATACAGGAAGAAATCCACCAGGATAAAGTTTTGCTAAAAATCATAGAGGACTTGGAGGAGAAACCAGATTCAAGGCCAGGATTTAAGTACAAATAGGAAGTGCTATTCTATGAGGGGCGTTTAGTGTTGTCCGCACAATCTTCGTTAATTCCTAAGATGTTGGGTGAATTTCATGTTACTCCGGAAGGTGGGCATTCCGGGTTTTATCGTACCTACAGACGTCTAGCTGCTAATGTATATTGGATAGGAATGAAAGCAAAGGTGCAAGCTTATGTGAAGGCTTGCGATGTGTGTCAACGAAAAAAGTACTTAGCTGCCACACCTGGGGGTTTATTACAACCTCTGCACATTCCGTCAGCAGTATGGGAAGAGGTCTCAATGGATTTTATAACAGGATTGCCGAAATCTCGTGGGTTTGAAGCGGTGTTTGTGGTAGTTGATAGACTGTCAAAATATTGTCACTTCACCCCCCTCAAGAGACCTTATACAACAAGAACAGTAACTGAAGTTTTTGCAAGAGAAGTTATACGACTTCATGGTTTACCTACAACAATTGTTAGTGATCGTGATCCTTTGTTCATTAGTAATTTTTGGACTGAACTTTTCAGGCTACAGGGTACTACTTTGAAGATGAGTTCAGCTTATCACCCGGAAACAGATGGCCAAACGGAAGTTGTCAATCGATATTTGGAAACTTATTTGAGATGTTTTATTGCGGACCAACCAAAATCTTGGCTATCTTGGATTCCATGGGTAGAATTCTGGTTTAACACAACATTTCATGCGTTTACAGGGAGCACACCTTTTGAGTTAGTCTATGGAAGGAAACCTCCAATCATTTCAAGACTCTTGCAAGGTGAAACAAGGGTGGCTGCAGTTCAAAAAGAGTTGGAAGAACGAGATGAAGCACTCAAGCAGCTTAGAGCTCATCTCCAAAGAGCTCAAGACTGCATGAAGCATTTTGCAGATAAGAAGAGGACAGAGTCCAGTTTTACTGTTGGAGAATGGGTGTTTTTGAAGCTTCGTCCACACCGG